GTGCAAGGATTCCAAGAAGAAAACATGCTGTATTTACTTTCTCCAACAGACACTTCCAGCCCTGAACCAATGCAGATGCGTGGGCCACCTGATCCTCCTCCCCCAAAGTGCTCAGCCAGCCAGTCAGCTGAGGGAGCAAAAGGGCAAATGGAAAGTACACAGAAACAAGCAGCACTTGCAGCTGCCTGATCCAACCTCCCTACCCCACCCCTATCCCTCCTAGGCTATTTTAATCCTGTTTTCTTTCAAACACAAGGAGCCTTTTTGGGGAGCCTTAATAAAGGCTGAGCAAACTAGTTAGCAGGTCTGTCCATGGTTTCTGAAGCATAAGCAGCTGCCCCCGACACATCACAAGCAGGCATTTGCTAAAGGAACCAACTTGTTTTCTGAAGGACTTTTATCAGCTTTTGATATGCAATTAAAGAAAGAGTATAAAATACAGCAACAGCCCAACCAAGCACACATCATGCATGCTATTCCTGTTTGTTTAGAGTCACCTTTGATTCGCTGCATTATACAAAGAGCAGGCATATGTCCAAGAACACAGGCTTCTGTGATAAGCTATTTTTAAAAAAGTATAGTTCCCAAGAGACTGGTGATTTGAGAGTCAGATCAGCAGTTTGAGTGGGAAGGGGGAGAGAATGTATTGTGTAAACTATGAGGTAGGGGCTGTCTCTTCATGCATGTTTGCTTAGTGCCTAGCACAAGATTCCTAAGGGAGGCCTTTTTTATCATAATAAAAATATAAAAACAAACAGTTAATATTGCACTCCGGCATGGGAAACTTCCATGAACCTGCAGCATGACGAATTACTGCCTACGGAAAAAAACTTAAGAAAAAGAAGTTTCAGACAGTTTATCAGCTTCCACTGATACCTATAAATAACATTCCTGTCAAACATTACATGTTTATAGTAGTTTTATTGTTCTCTTGCTTTCTGCACTGATCCAGCCTTCCTTCAGTCTGCCTATCGCTATATTTTAATTTTCTTCTTATTATTAAATATCTGTGTCATCACAGCGCCTTCTGTGCATTGTTACAAAAAAGGCCGTATGGTTTGATCAATATACATTCTGAACTTCAAAAATATTTTCAGGAAGAACAGTACCAACAGGATCTTTAAAAGGAAAGGGAAGGCTTTCTTCATCTCACTAGGGTTGAAAGATTGGAAAAGGCACCCCGGTAATAAAGGCTAAATGTATTGATGAAAAGTGGTTGATAAATTTCAAAACACCTTATAAAGAGGAGTAAGCAGCATTAGTCCTATTTTGCCAACTGGGAAACTGAGGCACCAAAGAAAAAGTCACACAAGTTGGTGGTACAGCTGAATACAGAAAACAAGTCTCTTGGGTCCCAATCTGGTGCCTTACCCACTAGAACACACTTCAAGACAGGACTCTTGCTCATGGTAAACCACGCCCCAGCCCCCAATTTGGGACTTGCATGATAAGATTTTTCAAAAGGACAAATACAAAGAGCTAAGTTTTAAAATAAAATATATATGTAGATACTGCATAAAGGGAGAACCACCTTCACCCTTTTGGAACAGATATTTAGAGTGGCACACATTTAAAAAATGTATACAAGAATGTGGGTGTGATTAATTTGCACATGCAATTACCCCCACCATATTCACACATAAGGTAGGTGCGTGTGTGTAAGTGCAACCACACAGTTGTCATTTGTTTTTGCAGATACCTGTTCTGCACACAACTGTCATAATTGTGCCAAAATGCATTTCTGCACAACATTTTTGTAAGTCTGGTCGTCCAAGGCTTGTTTATATATTAGTGATGGGACCCAAGCCAGAACAACTCCCATGAGCTAAGTAAGAGCTGGAGCTGAAAATTACAACTCAGGCCCATCTTGAAACTAAAGTTTTCCAGGCCAGAGTGTTCTCAAGCCTCACTATGCTGGTTGGGGCCTGGTACATTCACCCTGGCCTGCATTTCATATAGTCTCATTGTATTTATTACTTGCATTTTAAAGTGCCCATCATCAAAATTCCTAGGTTCCATTTATCCCTCAGAATTAGGAAATACAAGGTCATAAATGGAGATTTATGAAAACTACATACAGCAATTATTAACCCTCTCCTCCCCGAAGCAGAATATTTAAGGTAAAAAAAAAATTACTGATCTGACATCAGCCACCTTTTTTATCCCCTAGTAGAGAAAACAGGATGAAATGTAAGCCCGCCTTATTTCCCTCAAAAGAATGGAAATAAAAGATCAGGACTATCACTTATTTCTAACAATACAAAACTAAATTGCATGAAGTTAAATCAAACTCAAATGTAAAACCAAGCATGCCTTCCATTACTGTCAATACATTTAGAGCATGCTCATTTAAATCACAGATTTGTTTCCTATACTTATTACATGGTGCGCAAGGGAACATAGGAATGTATTACTGCTTCTCACGCATTTCGCCAACCACGTCAGTGAAACAACAGACCCCAAGGCAGCAATCGCCTTCCTCTTTGAATAGGACAGACTATGATTTGGAAAGCTTGTTTTAGACTTTAACTCATTGCCTTCTGGGATTAGAAAGGAAGCTTTCGGAAGACATCATAAACAGACAGGCTGGGGTCTTGTCATCTTTGGTTAATAAAACCTCTCTTTCTGAATGGAGGTAGCAGAGAAAAACAAGTTATTGCACATGTAACAATACTCGTGTACCGTATTAAGGACGTGGGAACAGTATTATCCATCAAGAGTGACTTAAGAGAGCTAACTGCTGCAGATTTGTGGGTATTTTTGTGAGCTCTGAAAGAAGCAACAACTGGAATAGCTAAAAAATACAATGGTTTAAAACCCCCATTATTTACTACACTGCATACAGATTTCTAAGTGCACATCAAGGAAAGCATCGAGTCTTTAAATAATGACAAACTGTAAAGGGGACCATGTTTTCTCTCCCTGATCCAACAGGCATAGGAAGATTATCACCGAAGGAAAAGCCAACGCTTATAGCATCATTACTCCCTCCCCCCAAAAGATGTTCTGGAGGCCACCCATTAAATATTGGCTCCTTCTAGGTTCCTTGCTCCATGAGCTTGGCACTTGGAGCCTGCACTCTATGCCCCACCATTGCAGTGACTTGAGCAAATCAACAATTTTTTTTTGTTGTTGCAGGGATTACATCACCACTAGGGCAGGGCTGCAGCTGCTAATTACCTCTGGCTTCCTTCCTCCCATCTCATCCCCTTCTCTGCACAACTGAACTTCAATCTGAAAACAAAACAAAGAGGCACACCTTGCTACAGCCATGCCGCAGCCAAGCCACTAGCACCCCAAGAACTGAACCCCTGGACGCATTGGCAGTCACCCGCACAGCGCTCTTGACGGATACACACAATAAAACCCGTCTTAAGCCACCACTGGAGGAACTGGCCAACACAAAAATATAGATAAATGGCTGCTTATCGGAGGTGGCCTTCTAATAACAATAAAGGTGGAGCGGAGCTGCCTGGGACGCTGGTGAGACAACAGAGTGGTCCCTTAGGACAGGTGACTGGCTGCCCATGGAGAACCAGCTCTGTACAGGTTTCGAAGTGGAAAACTCAGCGACACCATGGCTGCACCGTAGAGCGATTCTACCCCATGCAGATCCGCACAGGGTCTCGCCTCCATCCCTGCGCACAGGGAGAGCCACCCCAGAGAGCTTGGCTGGCTGGTTCTTGCGCCCCTGCTCTGGGTCCCGCTGATCGCCCCATGGGGGGGTGCAGGAAGGAATCTCGCCCCAGGCCAGACTAGCAGCGCGGGGCATAGGTGCTGAAGCGGTTTCCAGCCTATACAGGGGGCACAGTTTGGTTCAGTGGCTCTCAGCCCCCCCCCCAAACTGTTCCAGCGCCCCTGGCGCGGGTCACCCCCCGGGCGAGCTGGGGCTATGTGCCCTCATCACCCCCCTGCTCCTGCTGCGGGCTGACCCCGGGCTCCCACCTGCGGGTCAGACCGAGCGGCGCCGGG